AGGTCATAGTATAGTATGTCGTCCAAAATCATGAAAAACTGTCATAGTATTGTATGTCGTCCAAAATCATGAAACAAAGTCATAGTATAGTGTGTCGTCCAAAATCATGAAAAAATGTCTTAGTATAGTATATCGTCCAAAATCATGAAAAGATGTCATAGTATAGTATGTCGTCCAAAATCATGAAAAAATGTCTTAGTATAGCATGTCGTCCAAAATCATGAAGAAAAAATGTCATAGTATAGTATGTTGTCAAAAATCATGAAAAAACGTCATAGTATAGTATGTCATCAAAAATCACGAACAAACGCCATAGTATAGCATGTCGTCCAAAATTATGAAACAAAGTCATAGTATAGTATGTTGTCCAAAATCATGAAAAAAGTCATAGTATAGTATGACGTCCAAAATCATGAAAAAATGTCATAGTATAGTATGTCGTCCAAAATCATGAAAAAATGTCATAGTATAGTGTGTCATCCAAAATCATGAAAAAATGTCATAGTATAGTATAAAATGTTTTAGTATAGCATGTCGTCCAAAATCATTATACTATGACATACAATGACATTTTTTCATGATTTTGGATGACACGCTATACTATGACATTTTTTCTTCATGATTTTGGACGACATGACTTCTTTTCATGATTTTGGACGACATACTATACTTGGATGTCGTCCAAAATCATGAAAAAAAGTCATAGTACAGTATGTCGTCAAAAATTATGAAAAGATGTCTTAGTACAGCATGTCGTCCAAAATCATGAAAAAAAGTCATAGTATTGTATGTCGTCAAAAATCATGAAAAAATGTCATAGTATAGTATGTCGTCCAAAATCATGAAAAAAAGTCATAGTACAGTATGTCGTCCAAAATCATGAAAAAATGTCATAGTATAGTATGTTGTCAAATGTTATGAGAAAATAGCATAGAATAAGTATGGTGTCAAAAATCATGAAAAAAAGTCATACTACAGTATGTTATGAAATATCATGAAAATACGTCACAGGAGGTGTCGGTGGCTTAGTGGTAGAGCAGGCGCCCCATGTACAAGGCTGTTGCTGAAGCTGCCCGGGCTTGAATCTAGCCCGGGCCCCTCACTGCATGCTATGTCATGAAAAATGTCATAAAAAATGTCATTGTATAGTACTGCTACATCCCACCCTTAGGCGCCCCCTATGGGGGGACCAAAACTCCGTCAGTGACCCAAAATAACCACACATGACATCTTTAAAACACTCAAATCCATGGTATTTATTAACAAATAAACAAGTAAACAAGACAACAAAAATCCCACGCTGAGAGGCAGCAGGACCAGCAGTCCCCGCACCACAAGCCTCCCTCCTTTGCTGCTGGCACAGGAGCACCTAAGCACCTCCTCCATGCCAGGTGCAATGTGCCTTATTAAGTAATGCAGCACACCTGGGCAGATCTACAGTGGAGGGAAAAGGGACAGCAGCACAGAACACATACAGCTGTAACAGTATGCCATATACATGTCATAACAAATGTCAAAAAATGTCATAACATAGTATGTCCTTACATTTCATACTTAAGTACATACCCCCAAAAATTGTCATCATAAAGTATTACATAAAAAATATCATAGTTTGCCATAAAATTTCGTTTTTAGTACATCCAAAAACATGTTGTACAGTATGCCAATAAAATGATGAAGATATACAGCAACTTTATTCATAAAAGCAGTCTCATATGGAGGACTGCCCTAAGCTGGTATTGAATGCACAACCTTCCAGACAGCAAGAGCTTATGGCAAGCCGTTTTAACATTTAATCACTAAGTCTGACTATCCAGAATTACCATTATAGATATCTATAACGTCATTTTGACTAGTAGTAATGTCATTGTGACTAGTATGAATTTTAATTTAAGATATCTGTAACGTCATTCTGACTAGTCAAACTGAATTACAGATATCTGTAACGTCATTCTGACTAGTCGAAACTGAATTACAGATATCTATAACGTCATTCTGACTAGTCGAAAAATGAATTACAGATATCTGTAACGTCATTTTGACTAGTCAAAACTGAATTACAGATATCTATAACGTCATTCTGACTAGTCGAAACTGAATTACAGATATCTATAACGTCATTCTGACTAGTCGAAACTGAATTACAGATATCTGTAACATCATTTTGACTAGTCAAAACTGAATTACAGATATCTATGACGTCATTCTGACTAGTCAAAACTACAGTTACAGATATCTGTAATTCAGTTTTGACTAGTAAGATTCAAACTATTTTTGCCATTCATGTGTGGGGTTTGTCATTATAGATATCTACAATTACATTATGACTATCTATAAGTCCAGTTTGAGATATCTACAACGTCATTTTGACTAGTCATAATTCAGTTGTAGATATCTACAACGTCATTTTGACTAGTCATAATTCAGTTGCGGATATCTACAACGTCATTTTGACTAGTCAAAATTCGAATTCAAGATATCTACAACATCATTCTGACTATCTGAAACTCAATTCAAGATATCTAGAAAGGACCATGTAGATATCTTCAGTTGATGATAATTAAAGATATCTTGAACTTGAATTATGACTAGTCAAAATTAAATTGTAGATATCTCAAACTGGAATTACAGATATCCACAATTCAGTTACAGATATCCACAATAAGAATTGCAGATATCCGCAACTACATTGGAGATATCTATAATGACAAACCCCATACACATGAATGGCAAAAATAGTTTGAATCTTACTAGTCAAAACTGAATTACAGATATCTGTAATTAGAGTTTTGACTAGGCAAAATCTAATTAGGGATATCTTGAATAAGAGTTTTGACTAGGCAAAATTATGTTGCAGATATCAGTAATGAATATCCAATCTAGCGATTAAATGTTAAAACGGCTTGCCATAAGAGCTGACTGTTACTAGGGCTCAACGTCATAGCCAGCAAAACAGATGGAAAACAGATTTGCGTAAAACAAAGCAGAAATTTGAGCCTCATTATGTGTCTTTTGAACTGCATTACTGAGCACTGTATGTGTATCAAACTGACTCACAGGGGTTGACACTATTTCCTCGAGGAAAAGCTTCACAAAATCGGGACCTGAACTGTCATCCCTGCCTTTCCCAAAACCCATTTCATTTCCTCCATGTACTTTACCTACTGTGCTGCCAATCAGCCTGGTCTATAAAAGTGAAAATATTAACAAATGAAAAGGAAAAAGGAACTACGTGTTAAAAAAATCTTATGCCAACCAGACACTGCTGTAGGTGTAATCAATAATCCAATCAATCATATGTACTATTTTTGGAGTGGATTAGAAGCTTCAACCAATAGTTCCACAATGTGTGAACAGCTGGCATGTGCCGTAACAACCACACTACACAGCAACCCAACTATTTGAAGAGAGAGAAACCTTCAAACTACCAAAAACAGGGAAAGATGAAATGCTACTTTGAGGTAGTGATAGTTGAAATAAACATTAAATACAGTGGTAAAAAGTATTAGAAAGGTTGGAATGTAGCAGTAGTACTGTTGTGTCAAATGTCAAAAAATTATATGATAGTATGCCATTAGATGTACTAAAAAGTATTATAGCCATAAAAAATGTCATAGAAATGGCACAGTACAGTATGCTATTTTACAATAATCAAGAAAATTAAAGGTTAAGTCACCTCCATCATCACCATAAATTGTTATGAAAAGACATTTTCCTCATTTCTATGATGTATTAAATGACCAATGTGGAACAGATTTCTGAGGAAGGTGAAACATTAGGGAACAGAAAGTATTGCAATATTGCAGAAGCAGTGATCCTGCTTCAAACTGATACAGTTACATACCATAATGGAGGAATTGTTTGGTACAAATCCAATGGAGTTTACAGCAAAACTCTGAAGGAAAGTTTTTTTTTTAATTAGATTTCAAACATGACAAAAAAGACAAGTGTTCAAGCACTTTTGACTCAGAAGTTACTTTACATTTTCCAAAATTGTACAGTGAAGTGGTTTCCATATTGACATGGTCGTAATCAGGGTAATTCTGGCAAACCCCTGAAGGATAGTGTTTTATGATATGATTTATGATATAATGTAATTTAAGGTGACTCAAAAACTGTACATTGAAATAACCAAACTTAGCATGACCATGGTCAGAGTCATAGAACAGAATTCCACTGAACAATCATCTTATAGAGGAAAACAAATATGACTGTTTAAAATTAGGAAACAATCTATGTTTTGTGATGTCATACGATATGAGGCGTGTTTTCCTCAAACGCACACTGAAATCCAGACTGTGTGTGCGTCTAAATGCCTCCCTTGACTACAGTGTTGTACTCACTTACATCTGGTTTCCAGGTGGAGACGTCACTGGGATTTATGGTCAAATCCTGCACCGTGACGTCCAAGAGGTACGGTTGTGAGCTGCAAATTATCATTTAAATAGACAACGTGGAACTGGTGTGATTGCAACACAGTTAGCAGAGCGAGCAAACAAGGACATCATTAAAAAAGTCTATTCAGGCACAGCTGTTGGCAGGATGCCCAGCGCAGTGGAGCAGAGGAAGAGAATAGTATGTAGTAGTTTATAAATCTCGTGCGTGTGCATTTTGCAGGAAGTTTTTTATCTTGTGGGAACAAGATAAGGAAAATGTCACCTTATTTGACTTTAGGGGCTCTGTAGTAGATAGTGTTTGTTCTTTCTTTTCTTTTCCTTTCACATAAAACATATAGGCCCATAATTGAAAAGATATATAAGAAATAACTCATGAGTAGGGGTTTAAGTTTTGACTTGACTATGAGTTCACACACAGTGGAATTTTATAGCTATATTTTCAGCCAGTGTATAAAAATATATAGATTACAAAATATAGAAGAAATGAGGAGGCGTTTAAATTTTGACTCTACAATGACTGAGGTGATTTTACATGAGTCACTTGCTCAAGACCTACTTTAAGACACACCCCCTGTAGAAAAAAAACAACTATGAATAGCTGGCTCAGCTGGCTGCGGCTGAGTTGTGTGTTGGAGCGCACTAAGGTCACAGCACAGACAGATTGCTTCATACAATACCAGTCATATTTTCTACCTCCTATTCAGCTGAGCAGCTTTAGGTTTAGAAGAGTGTTTGTGTTTTTTAAATTAAAACAACAAATTTAGAGAAACAAAAAAAGACATTTAAAACCAAAAAAAAAAAAAAAAAGATATTAGATATCTGGGATATTTCTTGGACTGGATTACCTCACATCTCTCCTACAGTGGCTGTATCATCCTCACCATCAAGTCTGGGAAGCTGACTACAGAATGGCTGCACTCCTGTGGGCGATGGTTCTGTCTCTGTTCCTGCAGGGATGTTTGTGCAGTGTTGGGGAGACTAACCAAGGCTGCAGGCTATGGACTCCAAAAGGACAAGATGTTTGCTGTAACGCCTGTCATGCTGGTAAGTAATAAAAGTGATTGTGAGCATCACGACTGCATGATTTTGAATTGATGAAATGTGCTGTTAGTTCAGGAAAGATTTCACAAAGGTTCAACAGGTCAATGTGATGTATGTTTCTGTCACATCCCGAGGTTGCTTTAAAGTATTATAGTAAAAACTATGTTCATTTATTAAGAGAAGGAGAAATACCTTCTCACTTTGCACACTTTCCACACAAACTCACTTGTTACACAAATATATTAACACCATTATCAATTCCCAGAACTCAAGAGCTTATAATATACATGTAGTATCTTATAAAAGCCAAAAAAAAAGACACATACATGCTGAGTTGTGAGTGTTTTTGTCTGTGGATGTGAAAACATCATATTCCAGCCTCTCTGCAGTTCCTCCCTGGTGGTTACTTGTAACCAAATATAGTTTCAGTGGTTTTGCAGCTAATACCACAACAAAGGGAAAAGGCGTGGATGGTGCAACAGATAAATAATTTGGAGCTGTGGTCATATACTTTATATAACATAACAATTCCCAAACACTATAGTTTGCAGTACACTCTCGCGTGCTGCATTACAACTTTGAAAGCTTTGAGGAGGAAAGTCATTTCACCTTCATGTCACTGAAACTGTTATTACTATAACTATGGTATGTGTAAATGTGCAACAATGGGACTGTATATGTTTTATTTTGATTCTATTCTAAGTGAAATATGTGTGTGTTCTGTGTGTGTGTAGTGTGAAGGAGCTACAGCTTACATTTTATTGTGCAACGCTGTGTTGTAAAATGACAAATAAAATGACGTTACACCTTTGTCTGTTTGTAGGACACCGTCTTTTCCGTAAGTGTGGGCCAAACCCGAAAGATCTTTGTGTTCGTTGTGAGTCCGGGACATTTACAGTGAACCCTCTAAACTACAGGTGTAGCAGGTGTACACAGTGTGTAGGTATGTTAGCACACCCTATTGGCCACAGAACTACACAGGGCATTTCTTCACCATACACTCCAACATAAATCTGTGACAAGATTTCCCGTACCTTTGTGTGTAGGGGCTCAAGTCCATATGCAAGACTGCACAGCCACATCTGACACAAAGTGTGGCTGTAAAGAAGGACTCATCTGTGGTGATGACAGCTGCTCCTACTGTGTTACAAAGTGTGACAAAGGTTATGAACCTACTAAGAATGGTAAGTTCAATTAAAATAAAGCTCATGACTTTGGCACATATTAGATTTACAAGTTACATTAGACGGCAAGTCAACTGAATGATTGTCTGCACAGGTTCTTGCAGAGCATGTCCAGAGGGAACCTTCAACGACCAAAGTCACCAGATGTGTAAACCCTGGAGTACCAAGTAAGATGTTACCCTGCTCTAAAACAGCCATTGTAGCTAAGCTTTGTTGTTGTTGTTGTTGTTGTTGTTGTTGTTGTACTGACTGACTGATATCTTTCTCAAAGGTGTCCCAATCCATTTGAACATATCGTGGCCAAGGGGAATGCCTTCACTGACATTCAGTGTAGTGTTTCACATAAGATCGCCACGACACCTGGTGGGACATGATTCTGTTCTTCTAGTGCACTTTTGCTTTAATTCTTAATTTTGATTTACAGCTGGCAGTAACTTCTCACTGTTTTGCTTCAGCTCCCAAACAACAGGGATGGGAAGTGGGCCTGACTGTAATCACCATCGTAGCTCTGACGATCTTTTGCTTCATCGTCATCGGCATTGTAGCCAAGAAAATCATCAAGAAACGGCCTAAAGAAGAAGAAGAAGAAAAGCCAGTCACAAAAACACTGATAATCAGAACCCCTACAGGTAATAACTGCCGCACTGTCCCGACCCATATCACATGAAGGAAGTGATTGTACAGGATGCTTATCAATGAAACAACTAAGTGACTTGCCCTCTGTCTTCTTTAGATGATCCTCAGACTTTGAGAGCAATTGAGTGCAGCTTTCATGAGGCCCAGCAGGAGCAGGGCAGCAGCTCAGAGTCGCTGGCCTCCAAGGACTCCTCGGACCAGCTCATTGTATGAATCGAAGGGGCCAGAGTGCCACCCTGAAGTACCTGTTATTTGTTGAATTGTGTGAAAGGAAACAGGATATCCTGGATAAGAAGGGGTCTTTCTTTGCAATACTGAGCCAGACTTTTAGTAGGAAGTCTTTTCTGGCTTTAAATGAAAGAAACAGAGCACTGTGTTTACCTATCTGCCTTTTATCCACTCTTTTTTCCTAGAATCAGAATAATGAAAGCTACTGTGAAACTCCTGATGGGTCAGGTTAGAGATAACATTTAACTCTACAATTACAGCAGGATATAATTATAGTGATGATAGATTTACACAGGGGGAGGAAGGGGAATTCAGAGAGGGGAAAAACTAAAGTGGACTTACAAACATCTATTCATCATGTAAATGACGACAGACAGTGAGGTTGTGTTTTTTCCTTTCACTGAAGTGTGAAATATACAGTAGTTCTAGGATAGCTTGGAAGTTTTGAATTATTCAGAGTTTGGCGCCAGATAACAGTTACACAAAATACCTCACATTAAAACCCAAAGCCTTTTAGAAACCACTGGAAACAACTTTTTAAAAAATGCTTTCAATGTAATTGAACTTGTGCCAATGGACTGTATAACAGAACACTGTAGCATCTGAATGAGTGTGAACTAGTTTCACTACTCTGATATTTGCATACCTGAGCGGTAAAGCTGCTGAGTGGTGCTGTGTGTGAATAGTGCAGGTGGGCGTTCAGCTGGGTGTGGAAACTGAAAGCAGACAGGTCTTCTTAGCCCACATAGGCCTCCCAAAATAGATGCTTTGTTTTACCCAGGCACCGCTGACCAGCTTTGTACTGTTTACTGCTGCGTTTGTAGACTTCAGTGAGCCACACTGGACTCCGCCAGTCATGATTTTATGAAGTGAAACTTTTATGATTTATCGGGATAGTTTGTTACTTTATGTCAGTCTTTGTTTATTATTTATTATATCTATAAAACACACAAGAGTTCTAAGCAAATCGATCATGTTGAATACAGCATGGCCTCTCCCACGCTACTTAACATTACCAAGAAATAAGGACTTTCCTACAATTGCTTCATTGGTGTCAAAAAGTCCAGTGAGGGGAGTTTCCATTTTTGTAAATAGGTAATCCTACAATGTTAAATACCAGGGAATCTACAGCACATAGTTTGCATATCTCCTGTACCTTTGTGTTGTTATTATGAGGTGAATATCTGGGGAAAGGTTTAAGTGCACTTACACAAGCTCAGACATGCCTCTTGAGCAAGACTTTGGCAGCACAGTGGGTATCCCGGGTGGAATATTTATTTCAGATGAAATGTCAGATGGTGTGATTAGTCATGCCATGTAGTGAATCTTTGAGATTCCCATTACGTGCGTCATGTGGGAAACCCTCTGGATAAATATGATAACACAGGGCACATACCTGAGGCGCACGAGATATCATAATGAGGCTTAAGGGTCATGTGGAACCAGTCAGTCCTGTGCTCTTACAGCTTATCATCTTGCCCAATGAAGTGAGCAGTTAAAGACCAAGTGGAACTTTTTTTTTTTAACCAAACGCATGTCTTTTCTAAACTGTAGCAGGCGTGTATCTTTCTTCTGAAATGGAACATTTGCGAAATGTGCTGTGTGGGCTTGGGGTTTAATGTTAGCCCACACCTATAGTAATGTATCAGTGACTGTGTATGAGTCATAACTCGAGCGTTGTGATGTCTGCTAAAAGACCACAAAGTTCATGGGTGCTGCCTTGACAAGAGTCATCACAGTACAGTCAACGTCATGTCATACAGTAACATTTTCATATGAAGTGTGGCACTTTAAATATCAATTGTTACCAGGTTTATTGTATGCACTTCTGGTTTGTGTGATATGTGAATTTATCTTTCTGCCTCACATTTGACTAACTGCTCTAAGACTTGTATTTATATCTGTCTTAAACTGTCCATGGGTTACACTGCAGTATGCATTCTGTTTGTACTTTTATAACTTTTTACACAGACAATAAAAATGGGGATTTTTTATTTTATTTGTTGCACTTTCTTACAGAACAATTGCATTCATAGTGGTCCACCTTAGCAGTGGCGTATTTCATTTGTAAAAAACAAACAAAAAACAACAAAGAGTGTTTTAAACGTGGGTAAAATGAACATACAAAGAGCAAAAAACTGAGATCAATGACTGATTATATGTGCATAAAAATCAAATCTTCTGTTAGAGAAACCATTCTGTATGATGAATGATGTTAATTGGCATCATAATGGTGTCTGGACTGATAAAAACCCACCTGGCAAAATATACAAAAACAAAGGTTGGATATGTACCACATAATTTAGGCTTAAAAAGTCTACTTACAAATTGTTGGGAGCTTTTTAACCGCTTCTCCCAGCTATGTGGGGAAGTCCTGATAACAAGTGGTTGTGTGTATGGAGAGACTTGACCTCCATCTCAGTTCAAGGACCGTCTTTGGTTTCTGATGTGAATGACCGTGAGAAACAGTTGAAACACACAAAAAGCTAATAAGTGGATCTTTGTTCCTCATACTGTCTCCAAAGGATATAGTTACATCTGACTATTACGAAAAAAACTGAGCATAATTTCATGATTGTTGTGATGTCTTTAAAAAACGGGATTTCCATTTCAGGGTTAAATAAGTTCATTTGATTGTCATTGTACCATTGTGAACATGGCTGGAGCCTTGGCAAACTGCTGTAAAGATAAGTTGGCAAAGTGGATGTCTGTAAGCGGCCTGTCCGAAAACGCCACTCCAGTTCAAAGGTTATCACAGTTACTTGTTTTTTTTAATGCTCTTCGGTGGTGCAGTGGTTAGTGTGGTCGCCCCACAGAAAGAGGGCTCTGGGTTGGGAACCACTGGCCACTTTAGATTTTCTTCCTGACAGGCAACTTGATTTAAAGATGCCACTTAAGGGAAAAAATGCGAGCCGGCTGGTGGTTTTGACCTATTTTGCTGTGCGGCACAGTGCTGACTGCTGCGTCACCACCAAAAAGCAAATTACGAAACAAAAGCAGTTATGATAATGGATGGATGTTCATGATGCTTAACTAAATAAAAACAAATACAAGTTACAAATATAATAAAAAAAGATATACTGTTTAAATTAAACACTCTAACACTGAAGAATTCAAACAATACTTCAATAACCCTAAATTTTCCCTTTGAAAGTTATAACGGTGTGAGTCCATAGTGTTGTCGTTATTCACTTAATGAAGAAATATTGTAAAATGTCACTTCTCTCAATTCTTTGTCTTTGTCCCACTGGTCTAAAGTGCTAATAGGGGCTGCTGGCTTCAACCTTAAAGTCATAAGTAATGACAACTCTGTAGCTGAACTGGTATTTAGTGTTATAAAATATAAAGTATATATAAGCACTCCAACAGCACGACGTGTTGAAAATTACTGTTGCTTGCAATTTTCCTTCTTCTCTTTGGGTTTAATGCGTGCTGATTTGTCCGTTTGCCGCTTTGTAGGTGGGATGAAAGTAGGCTCCTCCAGGAGGTCATGTAAGCCAGACTGGGGCACGGGAAGTGACTGACAAGTCGGGCCTATATCGGAGGAAACAGGATATGAGTGTCCACCCATTGTTCTGTTGGTTTTATTTTGAGTGCTTGTGGTACCTGCTTGTCCCACTCTGAGGCTCTCTGTGCCTTGCCTCCTGGCCTGGAAGGTTGGGTCCAGCTCCTCCGCAATGTTTCTGATCTGCTGGCCTTGTCTGTAAATGCAGTGGTTGTTAGTCGGCATGTAAAGTAGGTGAAAGATATATGTAACAATACAGACATTCATCCGTTTCATCATGTGTATTCATGCAGAGGCAATTACGGTATAGTGGAGAAGGGGCTGGGTGGCTGGTTCTCTGGGGAGCAGTCCTCAGTGGGGGAAGGAAGGCCCTCTGAGTCAAGCCTCTCTCGCTGGACCTAAGGAAGTGGGGGAAGAAGTCTGATTCATTTCATCACCTTGCTTAAAAAATACATGAAAACAGCAAGGCAAGAGCAAGAACTGCCGTGTCAAAAAGTAAAGACATGTACTGTTTTCCTAATCTACATCACTCTCACCGGTCTGTCTCTTGCAGCTCGTCTGTCATGATGATTGATCATCGCTCTGTGCTCGCGCCATGACGCTGGCCCTTCGAGCTCACGAGATCTTCGCTTCGACTTCATTTCCTGCTTCTGCATAAAGCGTGCAATTTCCTAGTGCAAATAAATAACAAATAACAAATAAGATATTCAATATGACACACATGGCTACTGATGACATGTTGATTTCTTGTACCTCATCCTGCGCCACTTGTGCTACTCTGAAATCTCCCTCTGGGTACGAGCTACTTGGAGAGGGCTGCGAGTTCTGTCAAAACAAAACCAGGAAAAGTCAGAAAAAAATGAACAGAAAGAGAAACTGACCTTCAGTTCTTTCGCCTTGACTCCCAAATCACAGAGTGTCATAGTAAATCCTCGGATCCCGTACCCTCCTCAACAGCTTCTCCTCTTCCTCCTGCAGCCTGTGAGCTAGTTCTTCATCCTCCAGGACCTGCTGCAGCTCCCCCAGGTCCAGGATTGCCTCACCTGGCTCTGGTTGCAGTGACGCTCCTGAGAATGAAGTTTGATAGCGTCAGTTACAAAGGAACTGACAGTTATGATGAGTACATTAGAAGTAAACAATCATAAAAATCATTGATGAATCATGCAAGTGTACTGATACAGAAACTGAGAGAAACGAGAACTGATGACAGCTGAGTCACACCAATAGATAAGAAGCAGCAGCATGTAAGGACATGTTGCTAGGTTTTGAAAGGGACCCCATAGTATGTATTCCCTCACTACATCAAGACTGGAAGGATGAAGATGAAGATGAGAATGAAAGCACACACTGAAGATGATTTCAGGACTACTGGAGTTATAGATATGAATAGGAAATCATCCCACTTCAGTAAGAGACCCCAAGTCACCAGTAAAACCCAAATTTGTCCAGATTAGACGATGATTGAGGGAAGATGAGAGGAGCAGATGCACACAGAGAGGTGGGGAGCACAGCTTTGGAAGCTTTCCCCCTGCAGATTGGAGCTGGCTGCAGTTCTGGGTGTTACCTGCTGCCACGTGCCTTGACCTATCCCTGGTTGAAGCCCCGCTGCTGCTGAAGCTTTGGCTACGCTGTGGGGCTCTTCGACGGGGCCTCTCTACTCTCCTCTCCGCCTCCTGCTCCTCCTCTGAGCTTAACCTTTCTTCTATGGTCCTGTGCCAGTGCCTGCGCTCGCTCGTTGTCCTCTTGACCCTGCAATCATTTGCATTCCTCTCCCTCACGTCACTGATAGTGTATCCGTGCTCTTTATACCTTCTACTGCTTCCTTTTTCTCTGTTAGCAAGATATGGGTCTCGATTACTAATCTCATCAACATTTCCATCATACTCCCTGTTACTACGATGCCAGTCTCCGTCTTGTCTGTGATCTCTCCCACTGTTCTCTTGGTATGACAACCTCCTCCTCTCCCTGATATCTCCATGGAAACTGTGCCTGGTGGTGGCAGTTCTCTGGAAGACTCTCTGATGTGGTTGGGAGTCACCACAGGAGACCTCACTCCCATGAAGCACCTGGCTGTCTCTGCTTTGAGCTCTTATTTGTAGCTGCACCCCGCTGTTGCTAAACCTTACAGGCACACCCCTCTCTTGGAGGACCTGGCCCAGCATCTCCCACACTCGGCTGGTTTCATCCTGATGCCTGTTAGAGCTCCTGGTGTTCTCCTGAAAATGGACATGTTTGTCAGGGTTGTCCTTATAGCTCCAGGACCTCGCCAAGTCTCTGCTGCCATGTCTGCTCCTGTCAGGTAGCCTGACAGATTCACTGCGATTACATCGCCTTTCTCTTACCTCGGCTATGCTAGAGTCTCTATCGTGGCCTCTACTTCTGTGCAAACCTTCATACTCCTCTATATTGTTCCTTTCCAGATCCCAAATCCTAGGCCTCCTCTTCTCGAGGTCACTATTTTTATAGCGGTTCTCATTCCACTCTCCTCTTTCCTCCTCCAAGCCTCTGGACTCATTTGTGAAGCTGCTGCGAGAGCAAAGACTTCTGTAGTTTCTCTCCTGCGGCTGATGTAAAGATACCTGCCATCGAGGAGGTGCCGTGTTATGTCTTTCATTCAGTCTCCGGGACCAGACAGCGAGCTGTTCAGAGAAAACTGTGTCCGAGTCCTCTGAATCCTCACTCAAACACTCTCTCAATTCGTTCCTGATTTCCCTTATGGAATCTCTATGTCCTTGATTTGACCATGAAGTTGTATTTTTCTGTGCTGCTACCCCCCTGGGGCAGTCAGCCTGAGGCCCAGTTAAGTCTGAATGGTTATGAGAGGTAGAACATTGCCACCTGGTGGTGGTATATGAGTACTGCTCCTCTCCTGGGTGATGGTTGCTGAGTGTGTGCTGGTGTGTGGATGGCAGTGCAGGATCGCTGGCGCAGCCTTTAGTAATGCCAAACATGCAAACACAAAAGCAGTAAGGATGGGTGAGGCTGCCAGCTGGCATTATTTGAGAGGTGCAGTTAATTATGAGTCACACTGCTTTAAAAATAGCAGCATGTCAGTAATGTGTGAGTAATTGTTACACAGTTAAAATGTTTCAGACACAACTGAGGCATTCCAATAAGTTTATGGAGTGTAACACAGATAAATAGTCATGCGTAAAAGACAACATGTTACATGCACGTAATTGTTTCAGAACACAACACATTATGGAGATAATAATATAGTGCAACAGAGTGCTGCAGGGAAAAAAGTGCTAAAAACCAGAAATTAGTCAGCATTTTTGCACTACTAGTTCCCTCTTCTTATGTCAGTTGGTCTTTTGAATGAGCTTTTAGTTACATGCCTGTTAATACAAGCTTAGGACATTTTCATGCTTTGCTCAACGACATAAGATGCGTCAGTAAATACCCCACTCATGAATTTTGAAGCTTCTGCATGTCTTAAAAAAGGCAGAGACTACAGAACATCATCATGTCTAACGCAAGTGTATAGCCTTGTGTGATGGTGTTGTTGAAGTCATGTGACCGTGGTGTAGTTTGGTTACAGCCCGTTTTTTTTACTTCTGGTGATTGCATTTGAAGATCTGGCGTGTAGGATTTAGGGGGATATATGGGCAGAGATGGAATACAATATAATAGGTATATTATTTAGTGTATAATCACCTGAAATTAGAATCTTTGTGTTTTTATTACCTTAAAATGAGCCTTTTATGTCTACATAGGGAGTGGGTCCTAGTCTTCGAATATCACTACATTGCACATCCATGTCTCTACAGTAGTCCAGAGTGGAAAATCCCATTACTGGCTCTAGAAAGGGCCATTCACATTTTTGTATCATCCACTAGAGTTAGAAGACCCTCTGCGAAAATAACCTCGGAGAAACACGGTTTTCTAAACATGTAAGTGCTTTATTCAGTGTTTTTACTAGTTTAAATCACTGGGTTCATTTGTTTTGGAGAGGAGGACACCTCTGCAGATCAGTCAGCTCCCGCAAAAAACCTCCTGAACAATGAACACTGAAGGAATCCTAACTGGGGGAAGTTTCAGCTGGTTGCAATCTGCAATCCTCACCACTAGATGCCACTAAATCCCCCTGAATCTTACACACTGCACCTTTAAGCTTAAAAAAAAAAATCATAAAAGTGTTGTTCATTTTCAAGGATTATCTTACTTGACAAAACACGTCATTATCAAACTTTTGTTTGCCACAGAGCTTATTTTCCACAATAGTCCAAAATCCAATGGAAAAATCCCATTGTTTTTTTGTTGAGGGAACCAGGTTGATGTTAACCTCTGGGTTGGCCTACAAAAAAAAACATAATTCCTGCAGCAGTCTATATCTGTGTAGGTGCTGTTTTGTTCATGCTGTTGTTGTAATGTATGTGAAGAAAGACTTAAATCAGCAGCTCAGCAGCTCTGTGCCCTACTTTAAGTCTAACAACTAATTGTCAAATCTCAGCAAACACACATATAATATACTTTTAAATGGCACATCACTATTTTATTGAAAATAATTCAGCAGCATTTAAGAATCGCTGACGAGTGTTTTATTGGCTGTATGTGACAGCGTTAAAAAAAATGGCAAAATGTGACTGTACCTTCACTCTGGTCCTCCTGCCCTCTGCTCCTCCTTGCGATTCTCTGCATCTCCTCTTCCTGCATTCGTTTAGCTATTTCCTGTGGAGACAGATACGTACTAACTGCTTCATTGTATTATAAAACCATAATGAATAACCCATTAGGAATGTAGGCTAAATGCAGATTACAGAACAAAACTGGGCTGTTCTCTAATAATAAGAAAATAAACATACAATAGATACATGTCTAGTCCCTTTCAGGCTTTGAGAAGAATGTCCAACTAGATTTGACTGACTCTATTAGAATCCCTTGATCCTGTATCATTAGCTAATAATTAGGTCATATTCTTTCATTTGGCTCATTTCCTTCATTTCAAAACCTGATTTAGTTCTCACAGCAAAGCGTATAATGAAATGACCTAAATAAAACATTACAAAACATCTAAACATGCTCTGCTCACTCAGAACAGTCAGGTTATTCCACTCATGAGCTGGCATGACTGCAAGAATCTTCTTAGCAGCACAATATAAATGTCTTTCAACCAGCAGGTGGCAGCATAACATAGACTGTGTAAAAAAACAACAACTGATATCCTCCTCAACAAAATATTTAGGAAACTTTTGATTAATGTCTGAGATTTTATCCACTATGATGATGGTTTTCCTTTTATGTTATCTTCTTTCCACAACATAAAAATATGCTCATGCTGTAGATACTGCTTCATCTGTTTAACCTCGGACCCACTGTTTGCCCTAAATTTACTCAGATTCCTTTGATGTGATCTAAGCATTCAAACAACAACACAAATGTAACATGAAACAAACCTGTCACAACCTGTTTGGAGTTAACATCAAGTAGAGGCTCTAATCTATCTGACATCTGGCGTGTCTACAGAGGAGGCAACACCAAACGCAGAGGCATGTTGGGTGACGTAGTGCCACAGTGAGGTGATCTGACATCTTAGCACTAGGTGGCCAAACTAATTGTTTCAGGCGGGGCTGTGGTTGGCTCGATGGAAACTGGGAGACTACAAGAGAGACGAGCAAACTTTTAATCCCCTTCAGCCTGAACTCTGGACCAGAAAACTCCAACAGAAGCAGGTCAACAGGACTGTTTCACTTGAAGTAACACCTTGTCATCGGGGAATGCCTGCTCTTACCAGAGCTGCTGTACTTGAGTGCTCTCTGAAGGAGAACCCCCTCACCGCGTATCTGTGTTGCTTTTCTTGGAAAGGCCAGAACTAATGTTTCCTACAAATCAGCAGATTCTTCCACTGAATTCTATGAAATATCCATCTGCAGGCTGCATTTGCAACATAAATCATAAGTAAAAGCTAACACAGCTCCTTTTGCTTTGCAATCAGGGCGTGCGTGTCAGCTGCTTTGCCAGCATCAGCAGACAATTAGCAGCTTGCCATGGCAGGTTAGGCGTGGAGTGCCACAGGGATCTGGCATTTAAAACTGCACAGCCTGATGCCTTCTGTTCCTTAATTAAAGACACAATCTACAGGGAGGCAAATATTTAATCAACACCTCTGATCACCCAGTCATTAAGGAAGGTAAGCTAACGGGAGTGTTAATAGTTCATCATCTGATCCTAACATCAACACTCATAAAAAAAGAAATTATTACTTCCACACAGGAATAGATGTATTCTCATACCATTTGCTGCACAACCTAGCATGACTTTTAACCCAGTGGGTAAGTAAGGCTTTTCCATTTAACACTACCCAAACCCTTTAATAATGATGAATGCACCCCACAGTCTCTCTGACCTCACATCCTCCAAACAAGGAGCTTTTATAAGCCTGTCCAAGGCAGCCTCCTCTCAAAAGGAAACTGCAGGGTAAAGGAAAATATTATGCTGGAGCGGCCTTGTGACGCAGACCCCTCCATTGGACCAGCTGGGGAGTTTCGTGGCAGAGTTTGCTCTTTCCCCCCACAAAGCTCTTCTTCTCACACAGCTCAACTCTTCATTTCTATTGGTGGGGAGTCAGATTCATTTTTTTTTTAAAGCAACTGTTGTTCAGAAATGTGCATGGGTGCTTTAACTCACAGACATAAAGACAACGTTCTTTGAGGGGTTGGGCTTCTGTGTGAATACTGGAACAACTGGGGAGAGGTGATTGATGGGAACCATCTGGTTGTTCTGTCGTGTTTTGGTTGCAAGATGAATTGTTTTGTATTTGAAAAAAAATGGAGAGATCTAGTGTTGTTCCACAAATGAGGACAAGAGAAAATGGAAAACATAAATGTCTATCATTACAGTATTATCTACAACCACATTTCCAAAAAAGTCTGGATGCTGTGATTTGCAAATCCCCATATTTAATTGTATAAAAAGTATAAAAACAAGATATTTCATGTTCAAACTGAAAAAACGTTCTTGTTTTTGTAAATATACACTAATTCTGAGTTTAATGCCTGCAACAGGTTTACTAAAAGTTGGGACAGGGGCATGTTTACCGCTGTTTTACATCACCTCTTCCTTTAACAACACTCAGCGTTAGGGATCTGAGGACACTAATTGTCGAGTTCTGAAAGTGACATTTTTTTTCCATTTTTACTTCAGTTGATGAACAGTTTGGGTCGCCAGACTTCGTTGTCATATTTTGCACTTGATAATGCGCCACACATTTTCAGTGGGACACAAGTATGGACTGCAGGGAGGCCAGTCTAGTACCTGCATTCTTGAACTACGTAGCTTCACTGTTGTAGCATGTGCAGAATGTGGCTTGGCATTGTCCTGCTGGTATTAAGCAGTGACATACCTAATAAAACTGCCACTGAGATGGCAGCATATGTTGCTCCAAAACCTGTATGTACTTTTCAGCATAAATGGTGCCTTCTCCAATGTGAATGTTTTCCATGATGCCACAGGCACTAAAACACCCAATACCATCACAGATGCTGGCTTTGAACTTTAAGATGTTAACAAACTGGATGGTCCTATTCTTCTTTAGCTCTAGGGACACAGCGTCCATGATTTCATAAAACAATGTTAATGTGGACTCGTCAGACCACAGCACACTTTTCCACATTGTGTTGGTCCATCTCAGATGAGCTCAGACCCAGTGAAGTTGGTGCCATTTCTGGATGTTGTTGACAAATGATTTTCACTTTACATGAGTCTCAACTTAGATTTATAGATGCAGCGACTAAGTGTGTTTACCAATTTTCCAAAACTGTTCCCAAGTCCACGTGGCAATATCCTTCATACAATCATGTTGGTATTTAAAGGGTAACTGATGTTTTTTTCAACCTGGGCCCTATTTTCCGATCCACTTTTGTCTAAATGAGTGATTTCTCCCTTCTGTTATGTTGTCGGATAATTATACCAACAATCCGAGCCTATCTGTGTGGAAAAAAAAAAAGCACTTTTAGAGGACGTATTTTGAAGTTGTTTGACACTGTCTGAGTGCCCTATTAATTAATAAAGTGTGCTCACGGGGTGCAGGCAGGTCAGCCCTAGCTTCGTACTGGAGAAATGTCAAATATTGAACATCCTATTACTCATTTAGACAAAAGTAGATCGGAAAATAGGGCCCAGGTTGAAAAACCATTAGCTCCCCTTTAATGCAGTGTTGCCTGAAGGATCAAAGGTCACAGGCATTCAGTGTTGGTTTTCTGAGATTTCTCTGGGTTTTCTGAATCTTCTGACGATATCATGGATTGTAAATGGTGAAATCCCTTAATTCCTTACGATTGTGCTGTGAGAAATGCTGTCCTTAAACTGCTGGACTATTTGCCTACACAGTCTTTCATAAAGTGGTAAACCTCGTACCATCTTTGCTTGTGAACAACTGAGCCTTTCAAGGATGTGTCTTTCATACCCATGTTATGCTGTTATCAACTAACCTGTTTGCCTATGGAATGTTCCAAAAAGGTCTTTCATTGCCCCTGTCTCACCTTTTTTGAGACATGTTGCAGGCATCAAATTCAGAATGAATAAATTAAAGAATAATAATAATAAATGTTACTAGTTTGAACATTAAATATCTCATCTTCGTACTGTATTCAACTTAATATTTGTCAAAAAGAATTTGCAAATCATTGCATTCTGTTTTTATTTGTCTTTTACAGAACGTGACAACTTTTTTTGGAATCAGGGTTGAAGAAGCAATCTATCCAATAATTATTAAGATATCTCTGTGTGGACTGAAAGATGGTGGACCAACTGTCTGGCATGGCCATCCGTAGAGCCGCGCTGGTGGTGGTGACAAATGTTTTAGATGTGATACTGTTAGTAGAATGTAACTCGTTTATTTAAACATGACAGACATGTCAACAACACTGAGATTACAGAATTCTGTCTCAAACTTAAAATATGGAGACTAAAAACAATGAATAGAACTATAACTTCAAATCGGGACGACATTTAACTAAGAAAGGAAAAAAAACCCATTAAAACTGAATTCCAGCATTGCAAAAGACTTGTTTGGAAACCCAGCACCAATGTTATACTATGTCATGGAAAGGATGTCCAAATTAAGACTGAGTCACTCTCTTGATTAAACACTGCATTTAGACAATGTATTTACTTAACCTGCCCCCTCCTTTAACTGCACAGTTGAGGTTTTACACATGTTGAGTGTGCATCCAGTGTAGCCAAATGTGCACTCATGAGTGTGTCCTGTATGATGAGGTTGATGGTCCATGTCTGGAATCAACCGCCACAGAAACTGCTTGAGCCATCATCCAGATGGGTAGCTGACAGGTCGTCTCTGTTTAACAGCTGACTTTGCTCATGCAGCGCTCTTACGGCACAGTGGATACAGCAGAGGCCCAGAGCAGCACTTTGCTGCAACCGCCATTCATTATGGATTCAGTTAGTCCTGAGAGAGAGCAGATTTAACCATATGATACTCCCTGACCTGCTGGTAACAGGGAGATAATTAAATGATAAACAAGCATGTCCCGAGTGCTGTATAAGTCTACGAGTCCCTGTGCTGAATGCACTGAAGTTTACAGATAATGCTGGAGCTATTTTAAGTTTGTGTAAACTCCACAGTTGCCCTCTCATTCTGTCTGCACACAGTATTCAAGTTTGGGATACAAAGAATCATTAATCTGCCTTCACAAGCAGCAATTTTCTGCTTTGTGCACCAACTCCTACAGGCTTCAACATTTCCTGAGTCACATAATCCATTACAGCATTATCCATTAACAAAGTCTATTGTGTCTCAAACTAGATAGTAGTGTGAGATGTATTTAACGAATGTTTTGTTAAAACTTGTTGTTTTCTCGAACTAATTAACTGACATGAATTCAAGCTGACCACAGCCACTCTGTCTGTGAAGGAGTAAACTACCAGCTCTTAACAGGCAACTTTTGGAGAACTTTTGTCTGTGAATGTGTGTATTTGTGTTGTTTTGCTTCATGTGCTGTATTTTCTGTAAATGAAAACGTGTTAGTTCATTCCAAGGGGTTTACCCCTCTAATAAATGTCTATTTTTTAACTTTCAGGCCACCAGTGGGTAAGCGTTCAATTCTCAAAAGCTAAATTTGGGGTGGAGTATTACTTTAAGTCTTACTTTGGTTGTGTTCAAGTTTCTGTTTTATCTCTGCATTGTGCCAAGCTGAACTTGTCCACACAGTACAGTGTCTCGCTCTGCTCTGGTTACTGACAGCAACTCGACACCCGCAGGAAAGGATTTGTTCCTCTTTCAGGAGCAAATCCCTCAAAATATTTCGCTTTACAAACTTTGCTGTCACATTTGTGTCTTCTTATTAGCTGGAACAACTTACAGTTTCGAGCTAAGCTTAACGCCATGGAGGTTTTAATTTAAAAATGACAAAATGAGTGACTGGTGAAGGAACGCTGGTTTTCAACTTTTCTATATACAGTCATCAATATCAGTCATCCAAGGGGAATGTCTGTATCTTTCACAATGCTCTCTGTGTTGCCGTGGCCAAAATAAAGATTTGTTCTCCATCAGTCATATGACACGATGGACTGAGTTAAGGCTTGCTGCTTGGTGTGAGTTTCCTCCCACGGCTTTAAAACATGCAAGCCAGGTGAACTGAGTACACAATTTTCTATCTTTTGTGTAAACTCAGACAAGTTGACCTTTCCGAGGAGTTTCTCTGCATTTGGCTCAATACATATTGGCTCAGATGCAAGCCCTTCTTGTTGGCCTGAATGCTGATTGGATAATGGTTTGACTCTTATAGTGGATTGTAAGTGGAGCTATTATGGTGGATGTTAGCCATTTCACCTGCCCCTTCTCATCCACACAAAAGCAGCAACTGTTTGACTGGTGTGCACTGTAAAAGAGGATCAAATGCATATTAGGTTTGTAGTATTCACAGACAGGTTGATGTGTGAGAGAGGTGAGTAAAACTGAATGCATCATTTTATATTAAAAAAAAAAAAAACATCTTAATGCATCATAAAGGCTTAATTCTTGTCTGGCATGGTTTAGCAAGCCTACTGTCAGTCTGCCAACTGCAAGGTCTATTCGTTTAAACAAGCTAGAGTAAAGAAGAGTGGCCTGAGTGTAGCAGCTCGCTGACTGAGTGATAATGAGTTTTATGCAGGCACTGATGGGTGCACATCTCCAAATTGAAAAGATTTATCACACTGAGGTAGGTGGTAGGTGGATAATTGACGAGTAGGTGCAGATTCATGTGAGGTCAGAGCGGACCTTTGCACTCTTTATACTGAATTATACTGGTCTGAGCGATTCAAGCTGAAAACTTCTGCATAATTCCAACAGGTACATGTATTCATAAGAGAAGAGGCAATGACTATGAACTCCTGTCAATGCGACTGATGTAAAAGTACGGCTATAGACCACACACAGACTGAATGTCCACATTGGATACAATACACGTACTTGTATTAAACGTTTGGTACAAGGCTTTCGGTTTGGTACACTAAACTATCCTATTATGTTTGGGAAGTAAAATACACAGCTTAATCTGTGTTTAATATCATTTTCTCAGTGCCACTGCGCTCAGCAAATCAGCCCCCACAACAGAACAGGCAACATGCTGTCTGCCCCGCCCACCACTAAGCAAAACATTCTACTCCCCTGGTGAGACAGGCTGGGCGGCACACTAAGCTAAGCTAGCTCGTGGCAAGATGGTTAGTAACACCATTACCAGACCAAAAATAAAAAATCCTTTGACAACCACTTTGGTTTCGCTGTGAATTATGAGGATGATGGCAAGGAAGTGGTGGGGAAAAAAAACGGCACACACCATGCCAAAGAACTGCACAGTTACAGACTTTCCTTAGCTGCTAACCTAGTAGCACAGTAAAATACCCCCCCAGTTGAAGCATGAGCTGCTGTGCAGGGACAGACTCGTCAGCAGCTAGGCCAGTAGCACCCACAGTCTATGACAGTCTCGTTCACCAGCTAACAGCAGCTAACGTTAGCACAAAGCTCACACCCACAGCAGTAAGCAGTAACTGCTCAGTGCTGTGGGTGTGAGCTTTGGCAGACTGGGCAGCCGATTTGGCCAGAAAGACTAAAAGGTACATCAGTGACGGCTGTTTTGCTTGTGTTTATATGACTGTGGCATTTAACAGAGATGTTTATTCACGCATTTATCAGACTGAAAGCGCCAAGAGAGCTCGTGGGAAGTAGCAAACTCACTGCTCAAACATAGTGGACGATAGAAACGACACTGATACTGCGCGCTCTAATGTCAGTAGTCACAGGCACTCAGGTATAGCTTCATCAATGTTCAAAGTAAAAAAAAAAAAAAAAGCACGTTGCATTGTATCAAACTGAACTGTGAATTTTGTGAACCGTTACCACCACTAATGCATACAGAATTAATCAGTTTCAATAGTTTGTGCTCACCTCATCTTCCTGCTCCCTCCTACGGGCCTCCTCAGCACAACGCTGGATCTCCTCCTGAATTATGCGAGCATACTCAAAGTCCTCCTCCTCTCTGCAGAGCACCCACAGAAGAGAAGTCTTACACTTGTGACTTACTAACAAAACTACCAACACATCACACGAAAATGTAAATAAGAATATAAATCTGCATAGTAAATGTATATACAGAGGGGTCCGGATACATGCAGGTCATGAGGGCATGTAGTGATATCTGAATAGTGCAGCTGTGTTACAGTGTGAACTGTGTTGCATTGTGTTTTGGCGAGCAGGGGTCACCTACAGTTGTCTTGAGGCCTGTCTGAGGACGCTGCTCTGCTGGGCCTGCTCCTCTTCTTCCTCATCCTGCAGCCTTTTGGCTACACGGATGTCATTCTGCACTAGCTGGTTCTTCTGGATGTTGGTGGTATAGTATTGCTCGACTATGAAGGCAGAAAAAAAGGCAGAGGATCAGACAGTTTTAATATGTGGCAATGGAAAACTGTGTAATCTAGATTAGAGTGAGAAATAGTTACTATAGTACTTCTAGTCTAAATCTGTTGATTTTTGAGAGCTCATGAGTGCTGTGTTGTTTATTTGAAGCTTGGTTTGCGGCATGTCAGACCCTCAGTTTACATTTGAGGAAGCCTACAAACAGACACCAAATTACATGTCACTTTGTTTACTGTGCAAAAACATACCACGACTGTTTCAGACAAAAGCTAGCCAAAATGAAGTTTAAAAAGTAGTTCAATGTACTTCACCCGTTCTCGGGAATTGGGACAAAACTTTATTTAACTCTTCAATTAGGCTGGGAAAATATATTTTAAAAGATCAAAGTCTTGACTATTAAACCTTGTAATGGGCCAACCTCTCGGTAATTTAGTTTTTTCTTGAATAGCATACATAATGGATGTCAGATGTAAGATCTGACGGAGTTGACAAAAGGTTATATTTATCAATTTCACAGCAGTCCTTTAACTCGTCTATAAAGCACTAAATGGTCTCGGGCTTTAATACATTTCTGATTTACTGGTATGCTAGAAAGCATCCAGACCCCTCAGGTCATCTGGGACAGGTTTACTCAGCATTCTCAGGATCAAAACAAAAGCAAAAACAAGCAGGGTGAAGCAGCTTTTAGTTTCTATGCTCCCCACCTGTGGAAAAAAATACCTGAGGTCTGCTGAAACTGTTAACTTATTTAAATCAGGGCATAAAACATTATTGTTCACTGTGGCTTTCCAATAACATAACTTCTTCTTAAACCTTCGACTATATATTTGCTTGCTTTTGCTTGTTTGATTATCCTTTATTGCTTGAATGCAATTTTAATGTTTTCTTACATTGATTACATTTAATGTATTTCTGCGCCCCTGTTAAAGCACTATGGATTACCTTGTGTATAAATGGTGCTATATAAATAAACCTACCTAGTGAATAGCCACTTTATTTTCCACTGTATTTTGCAACGATTTTTCCTAATACTACTCAAAATACTTGTTTTTAAATCATAATTCTTATTCTGTTTTGATTTGGAAAGCTTAGTGAGTTGACCTGATATGAGACACACCGTATAGCAATATCATTTAATGAATTTATCAAAAAGTAGACAGCTTAACAGCCCTTGAGCACATTCCCACCTTTCTGGAAACTAGTTAAGTGAGACAAGAGTCCTTAGGATATAGCTCACCCCTTTTATGTCTGATTAAATGATGCTTTTGTAGACATCTTTCAGAGTTGACAAAAATCTGGGACACATCTTTAAAGGGACAACATTTAAAATAAAAAATTCCTGCTTCCTTCCACAATCCAAAGACATGCAGGTTAATTGGTGACTCTAAATTGTTCATGGGTGTGAATGTGAGTGTAAATGGTTGTCTGTCTCTATGTGTCAGCCCTGTGATAGTCTGGTGACCTGTCCAGGGTGTACCCCGCCTCTCGCCCCCCCGCGACCCCCAACAGGATAAGTGGTTACGAAAAATGACTGAATATAACAGCACATTTTTATATCCATGTTATCAGTATGTAGTGTTATAAATCCTTTAAAAATAATGTTTCACCCCAGAAATGGAATTAGTGTGTTGATAAGGTATAATTTTAAGGGTTTTTTTTTTAGCAGGAGGTGATTTGTCCCAGTTCTCAAGAATGTGTGAACAACCTTATGTTTTCCAGTCTGCCTTATGAGCTATGAGAATAATACAGCATTTAATTGAAGTATGTTTTATGTTTAATCTAAAATTTGTATTTATGGCTTCCAAAAATAGTCCTTGGTTGAATTCCTTAACAGGAAAAATAAAGACGATGCCTCACACAGGAAGAGGTGATTCACGGAGACAAGACTTAAAATACTACAAATTTGTGGTGTGCAGCTGTGCCGCTGTTTCATGGTAACACTGTACTTACTCTCCTGTTCCTGCAGGTTGTGTGCTAACACTCCATCCTCCAGCACTGCAAAACACTGGCACACTGAAACCACAGAGAACAGCAACACTTAAGTGTCACACAAAAGCTTAGAAAGTGTTCAAACATGAATGGAGGGGGGACATAAGTGTCAATAAAGTGCAAGCAAAGCAGTGCAAAGCAGTTCTCCCAGCAGAGAATTACTAAAACAACTGAAAACGACAGCAATCTTGAACAGTCCTGTTTGCTCCATCCTGAACAAGAGCTGGAAAGCTTTTGGTTTAGCACTCTGTCTGCAGGGAAACAATACAATGTGAGTGCTTTGTGTCATGATGGCTATTTTTCCGACAGAAAAAAGGCGGAGGAGTGACCCTCAAAACTTTCGAAAAAACTACCATACACCACTCTGGCAAGAATTTGCTGTTAAATATATAAAAGGCTCTCATAAAATCCCCATCATAACAGGGTGCCAGTGTTCCAGAGCAACACCCAAGTGGCCACAATTATTGCTCTCCTCCCAGAGTTACTGGGTTTAGCAGCAGCAGGGTAACAAGTCCAACTTATTCTAACAAAAGCAACAGTGTGACTTGCTCTATTTTGGGTGTGTTTATCAGAGCATCAGTGTGTATGCATGTAGATTCATGCACAATTTATGTGTATATCAGTACAAGAGCTCAGAGAGACTTAGGTTACATGTTTTTTTTTTGTTTGTACAAACTATGACTACCAAATGAAAATGCAAAGTTTGAGAGCTACTACCTGCCACCATTTAAACTGGGAGGCTGGTGCAGATGGTGCAAGAGTATGCAGAGTGAAATCTGTAAGGTTGTCGTAAATCCCAAGGCTTTAGCTAAGAGCTCTCTGTACACTAACTCTGTCTGCTTTTCCAAGTGAGCGCTCCCTATCCAATGAGCCTATAGTCTGGCCACCTGCTGCTCGATATGGTCATAAAACATATCTGTTTCATGGCGTTTACGCTCCCTAACCTTGTCCTGTTTTGTCAGAAAGCTGTCAAAGGGACTACGTAGACACACGCGCTTAAACAACTACGCAAAGGCATCCTGTAAAGTCAAACAAAGGGATAGTCAGCAAGACAGACAGTTTACTACTCTGTTTTGATCTAAATACACTGTAAGACTCCAATCATACCCACAGTTTTGCAGAACCCTTTGATCTATACATTGGCTTTAATAGCTTCAGCATCTGTGGACTGTTATTCTCATCTATAGGCATGCCAAGTGTTTACAGTAGTCCTTAATGAGCCACGATAGCCTCTACGTGCAGAAGCCCAAGGGTGTTTAAAGTCTGTCAAACAAACTCAAAAGACTCAAAAGAAAATAAACACAGACAGTCAGCAGCACTGTGGCCCAGCTGTTTTCTCCACTTCCTCCGTCTTTTGCAGACACACGGCTCAGGGTGACCAGACAAAAACTGCTTTGCTATCTCACAGATATTCATCGGGGAACCTAGTCGGGCCGGCTGCTCCGACAATGGTGTTTTTTGAAAGCCAGGAACAGCACAGAAGACGGGGCTTAAGAGGAGATTTAGCTCACTGCGGAGGGAAAGAGCCTCCAGCCTGAGACAGAGGCCGGGCCAATTAAAAACACCTGTCCTACTGTTAATCCCTCAACTGAGCCTGTGAGAGCAGGCAGGGCACTTCTGTAGAGACAGCGGCTATGTTTACATCCGTGCCCTTAATGCTTTGGATACTAAAGTATTCAGTTTATGAGGTGAGCTGACACATATAAATGTCATATGTTGTTTATAATAATTTGTTTAAGCTCTTAACCCAGCTACAGAGAGCCCAGATACATTATATATTCCTTTAACAGCTGCTGTGCAAATTAGATCCAGTATCTGGAATACTGTGCATGTAAAACTGGCTGTCACTGTGAGCGCTGCGAAGGAGATGTCAAAACTGAGACATTCATTCTCACTTTGTTTGCTTAAGGCTTCAACTGTGCTTTTTTGATCCCTTTGTCAGAAGATGCAGAACTCTAAAATAAAGAAACGCACGAACAGAAGACAAGCAAAGACTTTGGAAGTTTACTTACTAACTGAAGTTTCCCTGGATGACGGGAACGAAGGGGAGGCCTCAAGATTCATTGTAAGAGTGACATGGAGCCCATAGTCTATAGTACAGCTGTGACCATCTGTGTGGCTAATTGAAAACACACGACACATTGAGCATTCGACCCATCCCAGACTTTGAGACTGCTTCTCTGTGTTTGCAGTCATGCCAAGTTTGTACTCTCAAAGAAAACTTGGTTTGTGCTAGTTTCTCTCCAATGACATGTTCTCTATTGACCTATGTTGTCACTGTATCAGATTCATATTCTTATAAATATACAGAGCACTCTTCTCCTTCATTATTGCTGCATCTTAAGCCTAGTTCATATCACACGATTTTCACCGCGATTTTGACGTCGCAGAGGATCTTGAAAGCCATCTTGGGTCGGAGGTGAGTTGGCAGATAGTCTGCCACGACAAGTCCTCATGTGTGAACAAGCCTACGAGCAAGTTGCCCCCTTGTCTGTGACTGGGACTGGATATCTGGCATTCCAGAAAACTGGAGAAGTCTGACACGACTGACCAAGAGCATCAGCCAATGAGAGGCAGGATACGTCCCATGTCAGTACACAGGAGGACAGAAGAAATGTGAGGAGGACAAGCTGCAGGGTTGCCAGGTCTGCTTATTAGCCGTGACGTTGGGGTGGATTTTTTGTAAAGTCGCTTGCAAATTGGAAGTGGCTTGTTTCTAAAGTGGAGTTGCTTATTTGGGCTTGCTCTCTAAACGTTGCCTTTTTCTATATCCGTCACTTCTTTTGGGCTTGTTTCCTTAGCCCTGGTTGCTTGTTTCTCTCCCAAGATCTGGCAAGCAGCGGCGTCCACAGGATCAGGGGGAGCGCGTTGTGTTTGGACCCAGGCCCTGGAGGCAGATCTGATTCAGCACTGGGAAGAACATACATGCCTTTACGATGTGTCGTCTCCAAGTTAAAAAACGTAGTTTGGTGACGTCACCGCGTTATCTGGGGCTCTATCGGCGAGGGCTCGGTGGAGAAATGTTGTGGTGTGTACACACAGGTCGTAATGCAGTTGCCCAGACTCCCGATGACAGAAACACACGTCGCCAGGTATGAACACTCAAAAGATTACATAAGTCTCCGCAACGCAAAATCAGGGTGAAAATTGTGTAATGTGAACTAGGCTTTACTTGAACTACTAGAGCCTGCTGCAACAATGCAATGTTCAGTTTCAACTAGGGCTGCAGAATTAATCCAAATATTACCGAAAATGCAATATGACCAAGTGCATTGACCAAATCCCAGGAGCTGCAATGTTTTTAAAAGGTAAAATATGTCACAGCATGCCATTGTAAATGGCGGAGAAGCTCCAGCCTACAAATCACATTCCAGACATAAGGGAACAAGCTTGTTTGGTACAGACCCAAGCAAAAAAAAAAAATCACATCATCGTCATTTTTATATAGATTTTTTAGTGAAAATGAATGCAAAAATGACCACTCACACTGAAAATTTACACAACTGCTTCTGAGTTGATACAACAAGTCAATCTGAGGATTTCTCCTCTTTGTCCAGCTCTGTAAATAGTGAAGTCAGAGAACCCAGCTTCTGAAACATTTTTGTGGTAAAAATTTAGTCATACTCTGTTCCCTAAATCCTTAAAATGGAGGGGACAAAAAAACAAAGTTCTTGCTGAGAATAAGTCTCTGTGTATGTTTCAGTCTCGAGGGGCCCAACAGTCAAAGTTCATAGAAATCACCCAGACAGCACTAAGCCACCAAAAGGGTCTGTTTACACCATAAATGACCACATAAGTCCACACTGAGAGTTAACCCACACCAAGACAGACATGCATTACCACTTACACCTGTTGTAGAGCTTAAGAGACTATCCGCTAAATGGATCTCCACTCTGCCCTTATGTGTCCAGTCTGTCAATGTGGAGGGATTAGGTGGACGGCTTGGTTTTAATCCGACAGGACAAATTGACAGTTCAAAACATGAGTTTACTCTAAAGTACAACTCAGAGAGCGGAACGAAAGAAAGGAGGGAAAGATGGAGGAAAATGACAAGTCTCGCCCGGGTGTGCGCACACGTAAGTGTGTGTGTGGGTGTGTCAGAATTGTGGTGTAACTTGTTTTTCCAAACTCCTTTAAACTACGGTCACATTACCCTTCCAGGGGAGGGACAAGGAGACTGTGTTATTATGACTGCTAAACAGGTTTTGACGGACAGGATGTGCACATGGAGACACAGTGCGAGTCCACACTCACACACATACACACTCCTACTGTAAGCTTCTTAATGATGGCACTGAAAAGACCCTGTCAGGCCGTGTCAGTTTCCTAAGAGGATAGTAAATCAAAGATCCAGCAGACAACAGAAATTGGCTGTGGCATTTGAACACCAGAGGCTAAAATCCACTGAGGGGTAAGATTGTCTCAAAAAATGCGCAAAGAACAAGTAAAGATTTCAAAATATTAGCAGCCACCCACTGCATTGCCCAGTATGTTCCCCTGCAGTGTGGGCAGACTGTCTCTGCAGTGAGGCTGTGGGAGAAAGGGATGTTACAAAGCAGGAAACCACGACCTGTGTGACCTCAAAGCTCAAACAGTCAAAACAAAGTAAATTATTTCCTTTTTTAATGCCTCTCGTCCCTCACAAATATTCCACATGACTAGTGATCAGAAACAGAAAGAAAGGCCTGACTATTTTTGCCGATGTAACTAAATCTCATATGTGCATGCATGCACTTTGTCTTTTAGTCCAACTAACATCAGAGAACTGACAGCCAATCACCTAAAATAAAATTATGCAGATTATCTCAGGCATCCAGCTCGAGGGAGCAGCTCCGATCAAACATAGACAGAGATATTTCTCTTTCATCTTCGCAGCTACTTGAATAGCAGCAGTGGCAAGTGCCTGCCAAACAAAGAAACCGGCGAAAAGGAGAAAATGACAAGGGTTCTATTTTCAGCCAAAATCCCCCACCAACCACCCACGCTCTCGCTCTCTCTCTCTCTCTCTCTCTCTCTCTCTGTCTGTCTTTTTGCAACAAAATTACACCATGAAGTGTCCGTTCATCCCACAGCTCTCCGTGCCGTGTTATAAACTAGGTGAACAGGGCCAGCCAGCCTCATGAACTGGACCAGGCCGTCATGGAGAACAAAGAGAGGTGACGAGGGTAATGGGACTCTGGGTCAGTTGGTGAGAGTGAAATTAGGAACGGGGGGGAGGTGGGGGAATTCCTCTGGGAGCTGCATTCCCTCTGCACATCAGGCTATATCAGGAGCAGCTAGAGGAGGGACAAAACAGGAACTGATAAGAGGGGCAGTGAAAACAAAGAAAGTTGACTTGGCCGAGACTCTCGGATGGGGAGGAAAGTAGAGGAGAAGTGGGACGTGGGGGAACTACAGCTCTTAGGGAAATTGTAGCATAAACAACCACAGTGGGACGTTAAGTAAACAACCCCAATGCCACAGAGTGGGACAGCATATCTGTCTGGTGAAAGTGGATGATGAGCGGAAAAAGTGACACGGACCAGACATCTGATTTACATGCAGCAATTGTCTCAATGAGTAGTTTATTGCTGCTATTACTGGCTTTGTTTGCGCACTGGCCCCTGCTCAATAAAGCATAAAAATGCAAAGCTGCACAGTGTGCCCTTTGTGTACGGACACAAGAGCAGAGTGCTGAATTATCTCCCTTGATAAAAGACATGCAGACCTATTTCTAACCCATTCATTAGTATGGACATGCCAAAGACTGAGTCAACGCTCTACACCCAGGCTACAGCTTAGACATTCCTTACCTGTGAATGTTTTCATACTTAAATGCCAGCAGTTCAAACTAATTTTGTGCACGAGAGCTACATTAGTATCTATCTATCTTTTATTTATATTTTTGACCAGTAGGAGTTTGCAGATGGTTCTCCCATGTTAAACTTCACTACAGTTCTCACTCCGGCGTGTTTTTTGTCTAAGTATCTGAATGTCTTCATATTCTGGGGGGCAGCAAAGTCATATTTGTCGTCAATATTCCAAAGACCAAACGTATTAGGAGCAATTATGATTGTTCTGTTTGGGTCATTGAATCAAACTGAATTTAAAACTGAATTTAAATACAATTTTACCCCCAGTCAGGTCTGGAACTGCATATTCTGCCTAGGAAACTCTTGCAAGTCAGACTGTTTCAACTTAAAAAGGTTAAATGTCACATATGTTGCAGTAAAAGCCCTCATCTCAAGTGATAGCACTTTCTTCCCCTGAGATATAACATGTTCCAAACAACCATCTCAGTCCTTGCTCTTATCTATAGCCAGCACACAGTCGTGTATATGATGAGATTCATCTCTGTTCAGCTGAATGAGTGAACCGGTGTCTGCTGCAAACAGTCAAAACATATGGCAAGCTACGTCTTGTCTGAGATGGAGTACCGATGCCATAGAAAATCAAGCACAAGGTCAGAAGCAAAGCAGCCACTTGGTGCCAAGGCCAGTTATTCAGAATGTAAAAAAAGAGACACTAGGAAGTCGTCAGATGTCTCTGTCTCTCTAAAAAGCATGCAGCAGATGGGCAGACAAGCCTGTCCTTTATATTCATTGTGCCGAAGTGTCCATGAATCAAACACTCATTCCCAACTGGCTCCATGTCTGCAGCTCAGTAGCTGACCCTGACCTCTGACCCTCCCTGTGGCAGGGCTAAACAAAACCAACTTTTCTCCAGGGCAGACCATGGTGCATTCTCCACAGTGCACACACTTTTTCCATATGGTTTAAAGCTGCTATGGATGCAGGAGTTGGGTCAGTGTCAGAGTGTGTCCTCACCTTCTTGGACACGTGGAAGGTTGGACTGGTCAATTTCCAGCTCTGCCATCATTGTGCTTGATCTGTCACAGCCTCATGGTGATACACAAGACCCTGGGACCAGAGAGGGAATACTGGAAGTGAATATGTGGCTAAATGAAATTGAAGGCAAGGCACAACAAGTGGGAAAGAAACCCTTAAGTTACACAACCAGACCTTTAAGTGTAAGTTAAACAGACTACTGGTGTTAATGCAAACAAGTCAGCTAATGACTGACAAGCTAACACTGGCAGTGTTGCTACAAACAGTAACTAGACCCTGAAAGGTGAAACAGTATCTGAATTGTTGTAGGCCACTTGTTTATCGAGCAAAATAAAAGAATAACCAGAGAAACATTCAGTCAGAGAGCCGAAGAGCCATTGTGTTACAACCTACCTGTTCCCAGCACGCTGCCCACACAGCCTCCAGTGTTGTGGATGTACACACAGCCTATTCAACAAGTACCAAACATGACAGCGAAGTGTCAACTTCGTCCACCGTCGCACTTTTCCCTCTCCCTCCCTCCTTTCCTCTCTTCTTCTTCTTCTTTTTGTGTCCCTCTCAAATTATCTGGAGTGTCACGAACGTGCTTGACCGTCTCTAACGCCTCCACTTTTGGTGTGAATGTTAAAACGCCAGCGACGGTTTCTTCTGTTGTTCATCAATGAAACAAAGCCCCGTCGACTCGTGATGGGAAGCCAGGGCGGACAAACTTAGCCCACAGCCTGTCGCTCCGGCTGCTTCTTCACGGCTCCTGTTCGGCAGCAGTGGGGGCGGTTAACGGCTGACGCCTTCAGGTGCTCCTCCGAGCTCGGACTTATCTCTTACGAGTCACGATGTTGCCTAATAAAAACGGCAATTCGCCCCTTTTTTATGCTTTTTTTTATTTACAAGACATCTGGTGAAGGAAAGACCCCTTTCTCTAACATTTTTAAACAAGGTCAGTTAATCGTAGAGTGGCTTATAAAGCTAGTAATCCGGGAAAAGATTAGCCAACTCAGGCCAAAAGGTTATAAATTAAAACAGTGTACAGACAGGCGCAAGACAGCATAGTGTTCATACTGCTAGACAACCGGTTCTCACTTCCAGTTAGCGATTCCCATCCCACATAATATTACAGCACGACTATCACACAGGCCCACGCACCCACTTTCTCACCGAGTCGCCACATTTCTAACTGTTGGTGAAGGCAGCACTTAACCAGCCGAATGTTCCAATCACTCAAACAATGAAGCCTGAGTTTCCAAAGTAAAAGTGTGTTTTATTGATTTAATTGCAATAAATGCATTAAGGTAAAAAGGAGAAAATATCAGCAGGGACTGGTGCTGCAAAAGTGACCATTCTGGCAACTGTAAAAGTTTAATAGCATGTCTGGAAATATAACATTTCCACTTATGGGAGAGGTTTGCTTTGAGATGTCATGGGTTACAGATTACAAGTTTGCAAATAGAATAAGAACATCATGTATTAATCTTCAAATCCATGCCTCTCACAGAAAGTGGCAGATACTTAAATAGTACAGTGCAAAACTTTACAAAGTCATTTAACATAACTTGGACACTTCTGCAGCCCAAAAAAGGTGTACATCTTATAGCAGCTACCCCCTTAACAGCAATTCATGTGTAACAATCGACAACAAAACAAACCAAAACAGGCAAACAAGGCAAAATAGCAACAAAGACCAAATAAAACACACAAAATACAACTTACAAAAGGCAACTTGCGCGATTTAAGTTCCCTGCACCATTTTCTTCTACATCAGTATTACAGTCTGATCATCTATTTTCGTATTTGATCAATACATTATTTTTTAAATTTTTGCTTAAACCTACTTAATGTTCTGCATGTTTCAGTTCCTCAGGACAACTGCTCCATAAACTCAGATACAATGTAGTTTGGCATTGGTCCTCACCAATGGTTTTTTGAACATAAAAACACCTCTCAAAGCACGTTGACTTTCTCTCCTTTGAAACAACTTTTGGATACTTTCAGGTAATAATTGTTTTTCTTGTTTGCCCTGTACAAAAGTTGACAAAATCTTCAAATTTAAATATATTTAGTTTAATAAATAGTGAGTTTGTTGGTTCTCTGTATGAGGTTTTGTTCACAATTCTTATGGCTTCCTATTTAAGTATGAAAAGAAGGGCTAATGTAACTATTTTAATCACTCCATTAATAAAATGTAATGCATTACATTTGATTACTTACAAATGTTTTAAACTGGGCAACAAAGCTGTTCAGAAATAGGCTATGTCAAAAGAAGGCATTCCTGCAAGGTGAAAAGATGCAAAGCAACAGAATGAACTGTAACTAATGACAATTACATTTAGCCTATATTGTAATTTGATTACATGTAACTAGTTACTCCCTGACACTGAACATTTCACTTGACTTCTGTTGCAAGAAAAACCTGAAGTTGATTTGATGTGTGGCAAACTAACAGCCCTTATCATCATTTCCTCCCGTGTGCACCTGGATGGAGCTGCAACTCACTGATTAATTCAGATGGGCAGGAAACCTTCAAGCTCCCTGTGTCAAAAATATTATCAAAAGACTCATTTCTGAGGAGGATGAAACGCTGCTCTTAAAAAACTGTCTTGTAAATGTCAATGATGATGAAAATTTATAGGCTATTTTAGGTTTTGAAGGCTACAGGTTTTGTGACATTCAATTTGCACTCTGTCAAGCTGAGAGTCTTTGAAGACTGCTGAAATGACGGAGGAACAAAGAAGACTGTCTAGAAAGATATTTTGCCCCTCGGAGCCACACTGAGGAGTTTACACTGGAGGTCAATTTGCTGGAAATGTGTATAGGTGGTATATTGCACTGTTAACGTGGTTTTCTAGACGTAATGTTGCCCTCTGCTGGCTGCACATGTGTCAGTCACATATCCATGAGGTCGAGTGATGTCACCAAGTCATAAAAACCTGCCAGGCCACATAGCTTGGACTGATACAGTTGTTTGGTGATGTGTAGCTTTGGCATCCATGGCCTTTAGAAAATTCAGACTGTCTATATGTCAGATGCTTTCAGTCAATGTGAAATCAAATGTTGATAAATTCTGTAGCATCTGAATAATGCCTGGTGTTCCTATTGGGATATTTAAGTGTTTCAGTCACATTCTGCTGTTACAAGCTGTATAAACAGTACGTCACAGTCTCAAAGCAAAATATTTCTGTTTTTACTTCAGTACATTCTGAAGCTAGTGGCTCATATTCTGATTTTTTTTTCAGGAGAAACAAATTATACTTTCAGACCACAGAATATTTTGCATTCTTTAACCTCAACCACCCACCAGGTGAGATTTAATCAGACCGAGCACCACTTTGGCCAGAACCACACAACAATGCTGCTTTAATGCTGAATATCTTCAGCCCCTAGTCAACGGGACGACATGTAGAGGCATAAATAAGTTTCACCTTTAGTTCCGATAAGTTTTAATTTTACTTCCAGTCAGAAAGGGCTGAAGGAAAATTAATGCATACGACTGGATACATGAGATTTGGATTATACTGATGCAATTTTGTGAGAGTTTATAAACAGATGTTGTTAAACATATGTTTAACAACAAAAAGTTGGGCAAAAAGTTTTCAAATTACAAAACACATAATATCATTGCTTTTTGTCCTGATTTAGCTCCTTATTAAACATGGTCCCCAATGACTCTAATTAATCAACAATGTTTGCCATTTTGGGACTCTTCACTTACTGCAGGCATGTGAGAAATATAAGGTTTTCTTCACAAACTCAAGGTAACATGACATAAATGATGGATATATTAATAGTCATTTTGTGGGTGAAGTATTACTTTAATGCAGCTGGATTCAAAACTCCATATTTTGCACTACATCTGCTACCTCAGTGTATTTTACTGCAGATACTTGTTTACATTCATACTAAACATTATAAAAGCAGGACTTCAGTTGTAATTAAATATTTTTCCATTGAGATATTGCTTCGTATACTAAGATTTACATTTAGTAAATACTACTAATAACAATACTACATAATACTACTACTACTACTATTACTACTACTACTACTACTAATAATAATAATAATCATCATCATCATCATCATCATAATGCTTTTAGTATAAATTCATTTATCACTGCAGGGACAGGGCTCAAATATCAAGTGTTACCATGGTAATTCTGAACAAACACATGGTTGTTACAGTTAATTTTAGCTTCTAAACTGTTTATCAGTGTTGTAGTAAGGATTGATTTTGGTCTCAAGACCACTCTTTGAAGGTCTCAGTCTGGTCTCAAACTTGACCATATTCTTTTTTAAGATGATCTTTTTGGCTTTCTTAGATAGGACAGTCTAAGCATGAGAGAGGGAGAGAAAGAGGATGACATGCAGCAAGGGGGCACAGGCTGGAATCAAACCCACAGTCACTGCAGCAAGGACATTGCCTTCATTTAAGGAATACCAGCTCTACCCACTAAACCACTGGGCTCCCACTTGACCATATTTTTACTCTGTCTTGTCTTGGTCTCAAAGAAGACCCTGGATTTTATTTCAATACTGGTGAAGGCCTCAACTATGAGGATATCACTAAATTGCCTGCGCAAAATCAGAGTGCTGAATAAAGATGGTGAAGGTGATTTTAGCTCATTAGTGTTTGTATTAGTTTGCTCATAGACAACAAAGTTAAATTCCTACATATAAAATTCGCCTCTGCAATGCCTTTTGATTATTTTATCAAGACATTTCTCATGGTACTCTTATACATACACACATACACTCACTGGCCACTTTATTAGGTACACCCGTTCACCTGCTGGTTAACACAAATAGCTAATTAGCCAATCATGGCAGCAACTGGATGTATTTAGGCATGAAGACATGGTCAAGACAACCTGCTGAAGTTCAAACTGAGCATCAGAATGGGGAAGAAAGGTGATTTAAGTGACTTTGAACGTAGCATGGCTGTTGAGTATTTCAGAAACTGCTGGGATTTTCACACACAACCATCTCTAGGGTTTACAGAGGATGGTCCCAAAAAGAGGAAATATCCAGTGAGCAGCAGTTCTCTGGGTGAAAATGCCTTGTTGATGCCAGAGGTCAGAGGAGAATGGCCAGACTGGTTCAAGATGAAAGAAAGGCAACAGTAACTCAAATAACCACTGGTTACAACCAAGGTCTGCAGAAGACCATCTCTGAACCAACAACACGTCCAACCTTGAAGCAGATGGGCAACAGCAGCAGAAGACCACACCAGGTGCCACTCCTGTCAGCTAACAACAGGAAACTGAGGCTACAGTTCACACAGGCTCACCAAAACTGGACAATAGAAGATTGGAAAAAAGTTGCCTGGTCTGATGAGTCTGGATTTCTGCTGCCACATTCAGATGGTAGGGTCAGAATTTGGTGTAAACAACATGAAAGCATGGATCCATCCTGCCTTGTATCAACGGTTCAGGCTGCTGCTGATGGTGTAATGGTGTGGGGGATATTTTCTTAGTACCAACTGAGCATGGTTTAAACACCACAGCCTACCTGAGTATTGTTGCTGACCGTGTCCATCCCTTTATGACCACAGTGTACCCATCTTCTGATGGCTACTTCCAGCAGGATAACGCACCATGTCACAAAGCTCACATCATCTCAAACTGGTTTCTTGAACATGACAATGAGTTCACTGTACTCCAGTGGCCTCCACAGTCACCAGATCTCAGTCCAATAGAGCACCTTTGGGATGTGGTGGAACAGGAGATTCACATCATGGATGTGCAGCTGACAAATCTGCAGCAACTGTGTGATGCTATCATGTCAATATGGACCCAAAGCTCTGAGGAATGTTTCCAGCACCTTGTTGAATCTATGACACGATGAATTAAGACAGTTCTGAAGGCAAAAAAAACTATTATTTCCACTCTACTCTGTTCATACTGATACACATTATGGTGTATGAATCTCAAGAAAGTGTAGTATGTGTCAATGTTTGTTACAAAACATCTACCCCTTAAAGAAATCCAGATTCCACATTAAATTGCAAAGAGGATCCAGAATATAGCAGGATAAACCTCAAGTATGGGAGAGACAACATTTATTTTGGAGGCTGGAATAAGCTGGCAGCAGGACCTTGACTAATACAGAATATAAATCTTAATAGCTTTTTATGATATAAAGCAACACCTAATGGAGTGTCTGGCCTTCTGGCTATAAAATTAAATGTCACTGTCGCTTCGCCGACCCTCATTATCATACAAGAGACTGAACATTGACGTCACTACTTCTTATAAATATACAAATTATATACAGAGTTGCAAAATGTGACTCTGTAAATAGCTGTCTCAGCCTGTCCTCCAGTCTTCACTGATAGGAAAGGTTTCTGACTCTGTCTATCCATGCTGGACGTGCTAATAAAGTTTTATTGCATGACTAAGAGGAAGTGAAAGTGCAAATTTAACATCTTACCAGAACAAGGCCTCTAAATAATGTGCATGAATCAATCTGATTCAGTGACCCATGGAAAATTCTCTGCTGTCTTAAATTGACTTAAAATGTCAGATGGCTTATAGGCTGCAAGGCCCTGAACATTTTAGCATTTCCACTGAACCTCTGTGCAAGTAATTATGCCGTTTTATTAGGAATTCTCTCTGCTCTGTATGCAGCTCAGACTGTGAAGTTTTTCTGTGGGCTCTGAGTCAAGAGGATTCAAATGGCCCAAGAGTTTAATGAGCTGGTAGCATAAAAACATTAGTCATTTGGCTGCCCAGTTTCTCCACCTGCTCCCCTACAGAATGTTGTTGAGAGTGACATCTGAAACACCTGCTTCGATCCCATTTACAAAGTCAGTAAAACAGTCAATCAAGCTGAAGAGCTGGTAAAACACGACTGTGCCCTTGAAGCATGGGCTGCGGCACTTGTCTCTTTATTGAGCCTATAATTCACCTGTGACATCGTGTTGATTTATCGCAGTTAGAAGGGATGGGATTGTGGATATTGCTGATGGCTGTTTGTGGCCAGCAAAAGTGTGTGTCTGCTGCGTGGCATGGGGGAGGGGGGACAGGCTACAGCTGGAAGTATATATAACCCAGTTGGGACCAACAGAGCACGTACAAGTCTTCTTCTCACCTGAGGACCACCGTGAGACTCAGAGACACTTTCAGCGACAGCGTCCTGTAGATATGAAGTGTAACCATCTCCTGTCCTGGGCCTTCCTGCTCGTGGCCTCTGGCCCACTGCTGGCCCACCCCATCACAGAATCTGCGGAGATGCCCTATCCAGGACCTGGTGAGTGGGAAGTCATACCTCCCTTATTGCTGTTATTAGCATTTTTAGTAATAGAACGTAGTCTGTGATGGTTACAGCTACAGTTGGTAACTTTTATGAAAATAACTTTGTGTCATATTTGCTGAAACTGTCACTATATCCTGAAAGAAATACAGGAGACAGATCATGTTCCACCTTCTCTTCCTACTACTTTTAACAGCTTTCATTAGAATCTACCGCGGCGCACCGAAAACACCCAACCAGAGCTCAGGAGCCTCTAACGCAGCTGTCAGTCATCGCAGTCAGCGCTGATCAAATATGAATCGAGATCCTGTTACTGAATTGCCCATTTCTCACCTCAAATGTTTTCAGCAACATATTTTAGTGTACTGTTTAGCTGTAAAATGAGAAAGTTTGTGAATCGGCCATCATGCTGGAAACAGTCAACCAAAGTACCATGCACAGCCCACCAGCCGGACTAACTTTGTTATTTAACAGCTAAACAGTACACTAAAATATCAGATGAGGAATAGGCAATGCAGTGACAAAACCTTGTTTCATTTATATTTGATCGGCGCTGCCTAGTTTGACAGTTTGACCACAGTTCACGAGCAGTGACAGGCAGCTGCGTTTGAGACTCCTCGGCTCTGATTGGTTGTTTTTGTTCAGGTGTTTTAAGGGTTAGAATAAGGCAATAAAGTAGGCAGAGTAGTATGATTTTTCTTTTCACAGATTATTTGTCTGTAGTGTGAGGATGTACTGGCAGTTTTAGCAAATATATAAAAAATATTTCCAACTTTCCAAAGTTTCCAACTACAGCTTTAATGGCAGAAAGTCATGTCCTCAGGCCTTGAGGTAATTACTTCAGAGTTGCGGTATTGAACGCTGATTGTTCTGCCAAAGTTCACACACATGGACCACTGATGGAGGATTTCTCTGTTGCCAGTTCAGTTTTCTATTCAAATAATTTAAAAGTCATCATTGTGCGTAGAATAAAAATCAAACTCTGTGTTTCCTACAAAAATACTCTAAATACATTTCTAGAAATTGTAGAGTGTGACTCTCTACCTGTCAACTGTGTGTTACCAACTTTGTGTGGCTGTTGGGTTACTCCTCAGCATCAGTGGAGGACCGAGGAGTCGGCGCTCTGGATGATCTGTCCCTCTCTGAGCAAAGCTTCCCTCCTCAGGACGGTGCTGGTCTCAGATATTCCTCTCTGATATCTGGGGAGTTTAACAGAGATGGTAAGAAACACACATAGACACACAGTTTATACTGAAGTGCTCAGACTTGGTGCAGACTCTTGCTTTATCCAGGGAAAATCACCCACTTTGTGCTCCACATTTAAAATCATACACACACTGTAACCATAGCTTTCTGTGGTTGGATACCAAGCAGCACCACTAGAGAACTAGGTGGTCTAAGGTAATGATCAAGAGTGGGTAGTTATTGATAGAGGTGCACACAACATTCCCTCATTTTTCACACTCCTTAAACTTCACTCTACACTACCCAAAAGCCTGAAGTGCACAGAAACATGGCTAATGCAACAAGCTGACACACATTATCTCAAATATCTGAATATTCTCATGTTTTACTTTCTCTCAGGCGTCAGAACAAGCCTGCTTCCTCGAGGGATGAAAAGAGAGGTGAGTTCTCCACAAACATTATCCCTACAACAGCACAGTAAAGTAAGCTATACTGTAAACTGAATGTTGATTGCTGCTGCTTTATCCTGTCTTTCAGGTCCTATTGGAGAAACAAAGTCTCCTAAATCCTTTCAGCCACGTGCTGGGCATCCGGAAACAGTTCAGAAAGAGAGCAGGGAATTCTGAATGTTTCTGGAAATACTGCGTCTAAAAAAACATGTCAACAGGCATCAATGCCACACACAAGAGACAGGGCTTGCACTAAAACCAAAACCCCTATCTTGCACTCACATGCAGACAAAATAACAAACATCATGCATGCATACACTGTGCATATGCATGCCCAGGTGCATGAACTCACACATACACACTCACATACATAAGCGCTGTCTGTATTTGTTCACACAAAGAACAATGCCATTGGTGTGATTGAGACAAGTTGCTTGGGGGCTTTAAGATGATTTATTGAGACTATGTTTATGGTATGTGAAACTACATTTGTTAAAAGTCCCTGGTTGTCTGATGTACGACCAAAAGTCTTTTAAATGAATGTCAAAGGTTATGCAGCCCTGTATGTTGAATAGAAATAAAACTATATTATAAATACTCTGCTAAATGTCTTTTCTTGATAAAAAGGTGTTGCAGAAGCGGAGAGCAGAGGAAACCACTCACCCTTTCGTAGAAGTAAAGAAAGCAACAAAAAGACGGAGCAAAGTGTTCTCGAGTTTTCTTCATTTTTTCCTTTTTTTATTATTTTACAGCAGAAAGAATATAAAGCATTCAGAAAACATCTTCCATATTTTAAGGGCAATTCAAAACGTTTTGCATGGCTTCAGCAGCTGAAATCTCTTTTTTTTTTTTTTAACATATCCATCGAGTCAGTGACGCTTGTACATGCACAATTACAAAAATAAAACTTACAAACAAGAGAAGGGGAAGAAAAAGGAGGAAAGCAAAACACATTAGGAGAACCAAGAGGAGATGAAACTTTTTAAGGGGGGGGTCAAGGGTCGGGGGCGGAGAAAAATTGGGTCACATAACAGGGAAAGACAGAGAGAAAGACAGCTATAGAGGAGAGGAAAATAGATCTAACACTAGTTCACATGCAAAGTGTCGAGGACCCGTGACTTTCTATCAAAGCAGGGCCTTTTTTTTTCTTCTCGGTTTGGAATTGATGAAAACGTGCAGTTCGGTAAAGGGTGCCATATAATTGCTGTCCATAAACTACTGAATGCTTGTCTTGCAATACTGGCATTTGCATAAGAGTAAGTCGACTACATGTGTCCAATCATTTTAAACTTCACTAGGTCTATAGGTCTCCACAAAATAGTTCTTTATTGCTCTGTGTCCACAAGTGGAATATGTTGTAAAACTGTTTCTGTTTTGTTGTCCTGATGTGCCTACCTTTCTCTGGTTTGGGTGCTCGGGGAAAAAGAAGAGGAGGAAAGGCAGATTCCCAGGTCAATTCACAGAACGTCTCGAAATTGATAATACTGTGTGTGAAGAGTGCCTATCAGCTAACCTGTCATCCCATTCATAAATGGCAGTAAAAACAAGATTTGCAGGTGAACTTTTCATATAACTACACTCTTAATCTTAAATACCCTCTACACTTTGTCACTTAGATAAATTAAAGGCCTAAAGAACCGGCCAGAATTATACGATGATTTGACAGGCTCCTATGACAGAAAGTCAAATCATTTTTCTTAATGAGCTGTATATGACAGGACTTTATTCCAGGGCTCCACCGCTGTCTGCTGTGTTCAACGTTACTGAGAGGAAATGGATTATATTTCATTCATTTTAAAGACTTCAGTATCGCAGCGCTGAACCTGTCTGTCTTTACCAGAAAGCCCCGCTGAAAGTTTTTTCAGTATCAGCTTCTTCTGCCGTGAATCACGTGTCCTGCTCTGTTTCCTCCTCCCCATTTTGGCACCCTGAGTAAAATACAGAAGGGAGGTGAACCAGTCCCTCAGCCTGGAGAAGAGCGATGCCGCTCGGTGTACAAATGAAACTGACACCTTGACATGTCTGCGTGTGCTGTGTCTTGTGCATGTGTCTGTGTGTACCGTGTGTCACTTAGTTAATACTTGCTATACATACTGTCACAATGGTCTCCAACCATTTGTCCTATTTGAAGTTGGGAGCACACTGATCAAATCTTAAAAAGAATAAATAAAAAAACGGAAGAAATAAGTCTAAAAAGTTAGAGCTTGGTCTTAAAAAAAAAACCACAATCCTGTCCTCATGCTTTGCTGTGAAAACGTCAGTAGCTACTGAGTATTGATCATTGGCTCATTTGTAGGTTTCCCGTCAGCCCTGCAGTCACATGCCCTCTGTCTTTCGGAGTTCTGTGACACGTCAAACCAACGTTCATCGTTTTACAGAACAGTAAGTCTTTTAACAAGTCTATCTGACTACCGATTCTAGGAAAATAAGCATGCTTTAGGTGCAGTTCTGTCACCCAGTTAACTATTTTACCCATGCAAGCATAATAAATCCTTCTCCTTTTTTGCCACGACATTGCATTGGCTATGCATTCTAACCACAGACCAGGAGGATGAATGCGAGGCAACAAACCCCAGTAGTGGCGTTTCTAAGTGTGATTTTAACAAGCTGTCCCATTAAAAAAAATAACATAAAAAGAAGGCATAAAAATCAAAGTAAAGCTTAGCATGTTGACAAGCTGGAGTGCTGTGCTGATAACTGGAGTGAACAGGGAATATCATATTGTCGCTTTGGTGAGTGTAAGGTGACGGTGACGGATGTGTGTTCATGCAGAGGATACAGAGCTGTGTGTGTGGGTGACCACGTCGTCTCACATTCTCTCAACCTCAGGTACATCGGATGCATTCTGACACTGAGTTTGTGTGATCAGGATATGAATAGGCACTTTCTACATAAACACTCGGGAAATAATAAAAGTTTACATATCGGGCGTGTGGCAGAAAAAACAACAAAACAACCAGTCAGTCGAGAAAATAAATAAATCAGAGAAACACCTTCGTAGCCTAGTAATTATTGAACAAACATGACAACACTTCAATAAACAAAACTCAAGTTTTTCAGTGGCACTTGGCTGAATAATCAAATGTCATTACTTTGATACAGAATACACTTCCTGGTAGTTCTGGTAGGAATATATTAGAGGAATTAGGCAGCAACCAACAGGCACCTCTAAACCAGCAGCTCCTCTTTCAGATTGTTCCAACAGCCCAGTCAAAACTGTAATATATACAGTATATATATTACCCAATGGACAAGACACATCGTATGCCTCGTAGTTATAAATGGCACCAGTGCACTGTTTTTTTACACATTAGTTACAGTCATTTTGGCTCATTGACCGTGCATCAAGGCAACTTTTAGTGCTGCTGTTTAGCACCTGTGACTGTCGGAACAGTCGGTTTTGCAAACGTTTTGAGCTGCTTGACGAAGAAATCCACTCATGTACAGTTATGCTACACATGTTTCAACCAGACATTTTTGTTCTTTTTGACATGGAATACAAGGTCTGTTTAGACTGTGGCAGCCTTGATCAAGGTGCTTTCTTAAAATTAAAAGATTGTATTCGGAAAAATCCGTACAAGTGATTACAGGGATCAGCCAAGAATTGATCGATCAGTGTTTGCTGCAACATTGTGTAAATTTAAAGAGGCGATTTAACACCATGGGCAAGGCTGACAATCTTTAACATCAGGCAAGATACCTCAGTAACACATTCCATTTGCAATGACAACAAAAATAAAAAAGTCAAACTCTGCTATGGTGTGTTCAGTGATGGTCAAATGCTTCAGTTATCTGTGGGAATGGTGGAGACATGAGAGACTTAAATGCTTTCTGCTTTAAATATGACTCCCTCTGCAGACTGTGTACCTTATTGTTCTAGTGATCCTCGACCACCTGTGATCGTATGGTCGTCAGTGCTAGTGTGTATTTCACTGTATGATTATCTGTTCTGCAAAAATTAACTTAATTCTCTTCTTAAGCTATATAGCATTCACATACCTTGGCACCATTGGCAAAAGATTCTTGGTAGCCCAAAACAAACAAATGATAATAAAAAAAAAATGTAAACATAACCATACTTGTTTTTAAGATAATTTTGCAGACTTCTCCTAACTCTAAATACAGTATTTTTTTTTACTTTTTATATTGCAATAATATCATGCTTTAGCAAAATGTTCTTCTCAAGAACAATCAAAATAAAATAAAATACTCTAATAGTGAAATAGTTTTAATTTTACAGAGCATAGCCACTACTGCTTTTGTTGTTTTTTTTTCCCTTTTTGACTCTGTTCATACTTTTCATGCACATAGCTCATTTTTATCCCAGTTATTTACACTATTTACAAACAATACAACCATACTTCTTAGGCATTCAAACAAAACTATACAAATATTCTGTTTTTGTCTCGTACCTGTTTTTGACCCATTTTTAATGAATAAAATAATATATTTCTAAAATACAATCCCCTTTGGGTAAATGTTTTTTTTTCCTACATACTTTCAGCCTTCTTTATATACAGAAATCGCTCAATTGTCAAAAATATGGATTTGTCAAACCCCTATTTTGGGACAAGCTTAGGGACCCCTCAAAGAATCTCTAAGACGTCAAGGCAATGTATGTGATCTTCCCCTCAAAAGCCTTCACAGGCTCTGAAGTTCATTTAAAAAGAACAAGTAATAACCTGCATGACCATAACCGTTACAACACAAAATAGGCAAGTTCTTTTCTCGTTAGGTTCCAGAGGAGCAATCAACCGAAAGAAGCGTAAATGAAACAGAACGAAAAGAAACAGGACAATACGGGGATAGCTTCATTACCGAGATGACCGAACTTATGGGGAGAGGAGATGGAAACAAAAAGAAAATCAGAGGATAGGCTGAAAGACTAGACCATAAGCACACAAGCAAAGACTTTTCTTGCCAAGAAGTCATGCATCTTTTTCTTGGTAGGATTCAACAACATAGAGTCTGAAGATACAGATCACCAATACATTGGACATGATGGAACAAATACATCAGACAGTATGGAACAAATTCAAGTAATAAAGTGACAATATATACGATAAAGCATAGGGTTTTTTTTAAGAAATGGCAAAACAGAAATATTTTATCCCCCATCTGCATGGTTAAACCCCTGGACTACATTCATTTGTAGCTCCACCCGTGTGGGCAGACTGGTGGGGCAGAGCACAGTGGGACAGCTGGAGTTGTTGAGCTAAATTGAATAATCATCTACAGCAGTGGACAGAAGTGGGCGTGTGGGTGACCAATATATTTGGTTTAAAAAAAAATCCTTCTTCAAATGAATCGATTGGTCACTTAAAAAATTATGAAATACAATTAGAGCCCAGAGTGTTTCTGCGTGGTCTCCCTATCCTCTGAGATCTTCTGCAGCAGCCTTTTAATTCACGTCTCTCGAGGTCCTCGTGTTTGACAGACCTCCTCAGGCATGTCCTGCGTTTGCTTCCTTTTCACTGTCCGAAACCTCTTCGTATTCAAAAAAGACAAAGCAATCCATGAAAAAGTGCAAAAAATGCCATGAAGCAAATGTTCTGCACCCCCCACCCCGACCCTTTGAGTTTATAATCCCGTAGAAGTTGC